GAGCCACTCTGCCATGCTAGATCAAGGCATGTGATGAATCATGCCCTGGCTGTTCTTGCAGAAGTGATACACATTGCTTTCCACACTTCACTGGCTGGTACAAGTCTGAGGGCCATACCTAGTTTGAGGGTGAGGAAGAGAGGAGCCATCTTACCCTGTGTCCAGAAAGAGGTAAACTGATCGTAATAGCCCGGTTACTACCCTTCAAGGATTTATCTCTAAAACAAATGGACCCATATAACCGACTTTGAGATATTGCTTCTGTTTCCCCCCCTTTTTTTCTGTCATTACCTAATTGAGACATTAGGATTTGTACATGGAATCCTGGAAATTCTGCATACTTGCTGTCAGCACCAGCTTTTCTCATTCTGCCACTCATTTTTAGACCAGGATTCCTGACTCTTGTTGGTGCACCTATGAACTTTTTCCAAAAGTTTCTTTAGGGCTGTCGTAATCCATAAGAGGAAGAAATGTGGCCCATTTCTATTCAGGTACATCATCCCTCTTCCCCCAAAAGACCCCATCTCTCTAGCCATGTACTAGTTGCTGATCTCTGAGCATACCATGATATGCCACAGCTCTATGCCTTTGCTTCTTTGGTGCTTTTATGGAAAATGCCCTGCCCACCCCACTGTCCCAATAGACCAGACAAACTCATATTTATCCTTGAGGACCCAAATTTGTTTTTCTGTAATCTTTGTGTACTGTTTCCCCGTTTATGAACTCATAGGTTGTTTATAAACTTCTGTTATCACTGCTTTTATAACTGATTACCTGTTTGTGCCTCCTATTAAAGATTTGAGGGTAGAAACGCTGTGTTTTGCTGTGTGCAGCGTCTCATGCTGGAGGCCGAGGTGAGAGGAGGATTGCTTGAGTCCAGGAGCTTGAGACCAGCCTGTGCAACGTAGCAAGACCCCGTCTTTCTTCCAAAAAATTAAAAAATCAGCTGGGCAAGGTTGTGCGCCTATAGTCCCAGCTACTCTGGAGACTGAGGTGGGAGGATCCCTTGAGCCCAGGAGGTCGAGGCTTGCAGTGAGCTATGAGTACACTACTGTGTTCCAGCCTGGGTGACACTGACAGACTGTCTCAAAGAAAAAAAATTTTCATCTTGCCCTCTTTTCTGATTTATGGATTCCCAGCACATTACTAGACAATGAGTTCACATTTACCAGTTATAATAGGTCCTCCTAAAAAGAAAAAAATCATTTCAACTAAATTATATCTGGCAATTAAAGGTCAACCTTTTAAGTAATAAATGACCCAACATAATTATAACAAAAGGATTTTAGCAAAGATTTCACCTGTGCTTAAGGGTCCGCAGTTGGTTTTCTGCATAGTGCATGTATGTATTTATGCAGTATGTGTACCGTCCTGTGGCCTAGACTGGTTGGTGTCACTTATAAAGCACCTGGATGGGTTTAGGAGATGGATGTTACCTTCTCCCGAGGGCTGCGAATCTGCAGTGGGAACAATGTCAGACACATTCCTCTGAGATGGAAAAAAGCTCAGAGATCGAAAAACATACCCCTGGCCCACAACCTTTTCTTTTCCTTTAAACTCTAAGTGAAAAATTACACACATTTTCCTTCCGCTATACTTTTTTTTTTTTTTTTTTGACGGAGTTTCACTCTTGTTACCCAGGCTGGAGTGCAATGGCGCGATCAGCTCACCGCAACCTCCGCCTTCTGGGTTCAGGCAATTCTCCTGCCTCAGCCTCCTGAGTAGCTGGGATTACAGGCACACGCCACCATGCCCAGCTAATTTTTTGTAATTTTAGTAGAGGCGGGGTTTCACCATGTTGACCAGGATGGTCTCGATCTCTTGACCTCGTGATCACCCGCCTCGGCCTCCCAAAGTGCTGGGATTACAGGCGTGAGCCACCGCCTTCCGCTATACTTTCTAAGGTCTTGTGCCTCCTTCAGCACTTCCTTTGATATATGTGGGAGATAGAGATGAAGAAAAGGAGAAATGGGACAGGCAAAAAATAAAAATGTATATAAAGTAATTTGATTCAAGATGACCTGGTTTCTAAACTCTTAGCACTGATATTTTGGACCATTAAGGTATGTAGCCTCTGTACATGTGACTTTTCAAGAGAACGAACAGTAGATGGCTGGTTTGGAAAGGTGGGTAGGATTTAGAAATCTCAGAGAGCAGCCAGCCTCTTGACTTATAAATAGCAGGTTGTTAAGGTGAAGCTTCAAAGAAAATTGAGTTTTAAGTAGGGGCCCAAACATCACAGTTTGCCAGGACCAATCCCAGTTTGCATTTGAGATTCCAGCATAATTGTTAACAGTGCCCTCTGATTCTTGAAAGGCTCTGGTCTGAAATGGTCATTCTGGCTTTCGGTCATGCAGTTGGAGGCTATTGGCTTGAATGGGAAGGAAGAAGACTCCAGAGTGCGGAGAGCTGAAGGGAAAATTATCTTATGAGAGTCATTTCTGTTCAGAGTTTTCCTTAAAAGGCTGCTTATAGTGCTTTCTGAAATGCCTTGCAGACTTTTTTCTGACGCACTTTCGACATCAGTTTATTTTTCTTTGGTGCAGCTTTTATACGGCCAATGTGTCTTGGCGCTGCCTGGATTTCTTTTAAACTCGTGGGCAGCAGTGCTGCTTGTGTCTGTGATTCAAACTTGGACAGATTGGCTGTGAATGGGGTGATAAGAATAGAGAGAAACACATACCAGTAGACCAAACTTCCTGTGCACAAGCTTTTGAATACTGCATTTCACTGTCTGAAATAGCATTCATCTCAAGGCTGGGATCATTTATTCCCTTTGGAATTAAGCAATACCACTGGCAGCAAAAGAAACTTATTTTTGGAAGGCCATGTGGGAGGAATTTTTCTGTGTATTCGGGCTAGATGGAAGTATCTTTTATGCTTTTGCAGACCGCACCTTAAAGCCCAGGTAATTGGAAATTGACAACTTTCAGATAATCCCAAATATTTATGCCAAAGCTGATGTATACATGTTATATTACAAAGGTTAGGAAAGACTGAGTTTAGATGCTTCAACTTAATTACCTAAGTAGCAGAAGAAGAATCTCTTTCTTTAGAGATTAGCCTCTACTATAGATGCTGTTGAGAAGTAAAATGTAACATCTTATCCCTCTCCTTACATATGTTCTTGCATGTAGACTTTTCCAGATTGTTGGAGAAGTTTAAAATAAGGCAGTGAAGGCTATGTCCCCCCTGCTTCCTCCCCATAAAGCTGAGGTGGGCAGGGCTTGGCAGCTGGTGGAAACTGTAGAGATAAATAAGGGCCAGGGCTCCTGGATGGACAGGGTACCGAAGAGCCCAAGATGAGGGTGTGTAGCTATCAGTGCCTGCCATGGGAAGAGGCCACAAGGATGGAGCTGCAGCTGGAGTCCAGAAGTTCAGGCAGTGAAAGGGAGGTGCGAGCTTGTAGGAACTAGTTTAATAGCCCTTTTGCTCACACTATTGCTCTTTTATTTCTTTTTGTTGGGGGGTTACTTTAGAGGGCAAATATAAGTCAGGTATGCCTTAAATATCTGTCTTGTCATTTAAGTAATGTATTTAATGGAACCTAATGAGTTATGTTGGTCTGCTCCTGTTTGACTTTCTACTTGTTAAGAGCGTCACCTGATAAAGAGCTAATTGTCTTCTAAAGTTTGTCTTTACAAATTAGTTGCAATTGAAATGAAAACAGCAGTCCAGTGATGCTTAATATTTTTCTGCTTTTTTGCTCATAAGCAGTTTGGAAAATGTTTTTCTATGGAGAGCGTTTGAAGTCTCTTCTCCATGTGGTCAATGTGATCACAACAGATGGTTTTTGTTTTTAGTTCTTTTTTCACTTTGGCCCTCGAATTAATGTGAAAGGTAAGGATGTGGAGATTTCCTACAAATTGTTGAGATTTCCTCAAACAATGCTGTCTAGGCTTATGAGAAGCAGAGAAGCATTTTGTAAATTATATCCTATTGCTCACAAACTATATAGTTAACTTACTTAAAGTTCAAAATCATAAATATCTACCTATTACATGGGGAGTCTGGTAAGATTTCAGTACTGTTATAAACATCAGTGGCCTGTATATTGATTTTTTAAAAACAAATTTTATTTTCTAGCTAAATTAATCAAATATTTAATGACCTACAAATTTGAGTTACACTGGTGTCTATCTGGACTTGATGTGAAATGTTCTCCCTTTTAGTGTAACATTCTATGTTTTTTATAATTTTAATTCTTTATGTAAGAAATTAGTAGGAAAAGACCTTTATAGGGTGACCAGGCATTAAAAAGTTTTGAAAATTTTGAAGCATTTCAAGAAAAAAAAAAACTGAAGACATAGCTAGGTCTTTTAAATTAAGATTCTATAAGTAGCTGTTTTTCTCTTTGTGTGTCTAACACAGTCTAACAGTAGGATAATATTTAGGAAGTTACAGAATTAATTTTAAGCACAGGTCAGTAGTGATGAAAAAGCTAGATATTATTAAAGATATATAAGTAGAGGGTGGGAAGGAGGTGAGATAGGAAATGGAGGTTTTAAAAAAAAATACTGTGTTTGGTGCAATGACATGGCCTATAATCTCAGCGACTTTTGGGAGGCTGAGGTAGGAGGATCACTTGAGCCCAGGAGTTCAAGTGAGGCATGATAGTACCACTGCACTCCGGCCTTTAGAACAGAGCCAAACCTTGTCTCTCCCCCTAACCCTGCCCTTCAGAAACCTTGGAGCACTGATAAGTCATGAAGAGGCTTACTGAGTGCTGATGTGTGCTAGGGCCAGCCCTGTGATAAAATAAAGGGGAGAGAGTAAAAGCCAGAACTGAGTGTGGGAGGAAGTTGGGTGTTGTTAAACCCCATTTCACCTGGATCCTTAAATATGTCAATGAAAGATTATCAAAACCATCACCAGCCAAATGTTTCTGGGTTTATGTGTGGAATGCAAGCACCAGTCATCCCAGCCTTTTCAGTCTTTTTATTTGGAGTTGTGTTCATTCTCACAAACCCACTGATCTTCCCCTCCTCTCTGTGTTGTAGGAGAGACAGCGTCTGGAGACCATCCTCAATCTCTGTGCTGAATACACAAAGCCTGACAGTTGCTTATCTACTGGGACCACCGTGGCAGATGTGCAGAAAATCAACAAGGAGCTTGAGAAGCTGCAGCTCTCTGATGAGGAGTCTGTGTTTGAAGAAGCCCTCATGAGCCCTGACACAAGATACAGGTGCCACCGCCAAGATTCTCTCCACGATACAGACTTGGCAAGCTGTGGGATTCTCAGTCAGAGCAGTACCAGCTTCCTTACCGCCAGGAGCACTAGGAATGATGAAGTACTCAGCGACCTCACCCGGACTCCCCCACCACCATCCTCCACCTTTCCGAAAGCTTCCAGCGAGTCCTCTTATCTAAGTATCCTACCAAAGGTAATGCTGGCCAAGCAAAGATACTAGGATTTAGGGTCTAGGGCTGTGCATATGCTTTGGCCTGGAAACTGGTGATGTTATTATGCTACTTATTATTAATAGGTTATTAGCTGAGCAAGGTGCAGCAAATTCAGGTGTTTACTGTAAAGTAACAAATTTGCACTGTAAAAATGTAGCAGCACAGAAGAGTAGAAAGAAAGAACATTTCTCTTCTCCCTGCCCCCTTTCAGTTATATACCTGAGTGATAAGCAGGTGTAAAACTGGTGCTAAAATTGTCTTACCTGCCTTTCTAATAATTTTTGTGTATATGTGGCTGTTACAGGCATAGACAGGCAGATACACACACACAGTATTCTGTACTTTTTTCCCCTCACTAAATGCCTTGAGCATCTTTACATATTAGTATACACAGCTCTACCTCATTCTTTTTAATGAACAATGGTTTTCTTTTGTTTGCAACTACCATTTATATTCAGGGTTTTTTTGGCTAATAAAATCCATATGCAGCAAATATTGTAGCATATATATATATTTGCACAATTCTGCAAATGTGCCTGTGATATCACTTACTAAAAGTGGAATTGCTGGGTCAAAGAGCTTGTGTATTTTTCATTTTACTCAGTATTTCCAAATTGTACTTTCAAAAGACCATATTAAAAAAAAAGTCTGTATTTCCAGGTGACACTTTCACTAAGTTTATGTGCACACCTTGTTCTCCATACACTTGCCAAGGTTGCATATTGTCAAAATTTTTCAATTAGCCAAATTGATAGAAGTTTTAATTTGCTTTTCTTTAATTATGCATAAAGTTGGGGATCTTTTCATATTTTTAGTTATAATTTATATTTTTTGACCCACTTATTCTTGTTATTCACCCATTTTTTAATTGTTTTATTTGTCTTGTATTTTACTGAGTAGTAAGAGCTGTTTGTGGTTAAGCAGATTAGCCTTTTATCAAAAGTAGTCTTTATTTTGACTTTATATTTTTTGGACATATAGCAGCTTAAGATTTATTTGTACTCGTAAGTACTATTTAGTCTTCTGGGTATATGTTGGTTTAAAAATGTCTTCCTTTTGAGGATTTGTTAAATGGAGTTTAAGGAAAAATCTTTAAAAAAATTCTTTTTCTTTTTCTTTTTGTATGAGACTCAGAACCCCCAAATCTTTTGTTATTACGTTTTTCACACAGATTAATAATTTTTTTCTACCACAATTTAGTTTTTAAGTTTCTCTACTTTTCTTCTAAAAATGATTTGAAGGAGCTTACAAGAAAAGATAAAAATTATATTGGACTAAAATTAGAATAACAAAAATAGTAAAAAGAGGAAAAAGCAGATACCATATTCACAGGGTGGATTTACTTATTTAGGAATAAGAAGGATTAATGTATTGATTTGCTTAATTCATGCTTACTATTAAGTTCAACTGTGAGATTCTTTAATCTTTTGTTATAAGAGAAGGACACATTGATTCTTTAAGAGAAAGATATTGTCAAGGTACTAAATTCCGGCAGTAATCTATCACATTATTCAGGGGAGTTTGTGCATTTGTTTAACTACAGCAAGATTTTTACACTGAATGTTTTCCAGTCAGAAATCCTTTTCTACCTAATGAGATTTTCCATCATATACATCACAACTTTAGACTGTTGAATACATGTTGGACATCAATGTCTTCTTTTTTCTTTTCTTTCTTTCTTTTTTTTTTGACAGAGTCTTGCTCTGTCACCCAGGCTGGAGTGCAGTGGTGCAGTCTCAGCTCACTGCAACCTCTGCCTCCCAGGTTCAAGTGATTCTCCTGCCTCAGCCTCCTGAGTAGCTGGCACTACAGGTGCACACCATCACACCCAGCTAATTTTTGTATTTTTAGTAGAGACGAGGTTTCACCGTGTTAGCCAGGCCAGTCTGGAACTCCTGACCTCAGGTGATCCGCCTGCCTCGGCCTCCCATAGTGCCGAGATTACAAAAGTGAGCCACTGCGCCTGACTCATCCCTTCTTTTTGCTAGTGACCGTGTTTACCTTACTGATTCTCAATGGAGAGTAATTCTGAACAGGACATCTGTTTCTGTGGGCAGAGAGTTGCAGTGATTAGAAATCGGGATGGGGAAGAAAGTTGGGGCAGGGAGGAATCAAAAGTCGTTTGTGTTCAGGCACAGTAAATGACCCATCCGTTGAAAAGTTGAGCTATTGTCGTCAGCCATTGGCTTCCTTTTGATTTTAAATCTTTTCACATTTCTTCCTTCATGGAGATCTGCCATTTTTTTGTTAAAAACATTAAGCTGTGTGCTCTCTCTAAAGACTATCTTTGGGAGACAGGTTTCCTCCTGGAGAGGGCTATGGCAAGAATGCTGTTGGTATGTACATGAGCAGATCCTGGCAGATGTCTTTAATGGCTCGAGCGTGTAACTGTGGAATAGGAGGCCTCTGAAGCTTAGCGCAGCATCTGTTGTAGCAAGAGAGGTAAGACTGTATGCCCTGTAGAGGCAGGAAAGATCAGGGACACCCAGGGTACCACACAGCGGTGTAGAAAGAGTGCAAGTGAGGGAAGCTGATGGGTTTCAAGAAACACATTTTTTTACTTGTGACTTTCTGAAGATAGAAATATATTACCTTGAGATAGGAGATAGAAAATTAAAAAAAAAAAAACAACCTCATAACCATTTGTTTTGGATGCTCTTCCTCTTCAATTAATTTGCACACTGGATTATTTGCCTAACAAAGTTCAGTGTTAATACTCGATTTAGGGATAAATGGAGAAGAGAGGAATGTGAAAAACACTGTAAGTTGACTTAACTATACAAAACAACGATCTTAATGATATTTGGGAAACTTGAGAGTTACCAGTCAAGAACTTGCTTTATATAATACTTACAGATGCAGATGACCTTGGAAATATGCTAATTTTACTTGGCCTTCCTGAACCACCTCCTGAGGTAAAAGTTGTCTGGAAAGGTGGCTCATCTTTCTCCTTTTGAGTCCCTTGCACCCCTGTCTCCTTTGGCTGCAGAAGAGTTTTAAGAAGAAATCTGTGAAAAGGGGGCAGGTAGAAAGTGTCTTTTCCTCTGTCATCTCTCCCCTTTCCTGCATGGATCAAGTTTCCCCGAAGATAACATATTAGAGGATGCACATACATGTGTGAGGTGCTTATTAAAACATGTCACTGTTAGTAGATTCTTGTCCATTACTGTAAAAAAAAAAAAAATTGCCAGAGAAATTAAAATGAAGAGCATATGTTTAGAATTACAATGTCTCTGACACTATAATACTTAAAGCTACTCAGTGGCTACCACACCTTAGCTTTCTATTGGTTTTCTTTATTTGGTTAATAAATGAGATTACATTGACCTCACCCCATTCTATCATAAAGCGTTCAGTTTTAGAATGCTTCCTGGAGATTTTGTTTCTTATAAATAACTTAGAAAGAAAAGCCATGAACATTTCCTAGATGGCATTTGTGGCTTTATTGCCACAAACAGTATCTTAAGTTGTCTGTCATGAGACATATCTATTGTGATAAACTTTCTAAAAACTTTGAATTATGCAGATGATTCCCACTCCTAACCATCTTTAAAGTTTGGAGTTTTGCAGATTGTTCTGTTGTTTTGTATTTTTCTTAACGCCTTGTGTCCACCTGTGAGAGAGATATTTTTAAGCCATGTTGGAAGTAGAAACCTAATATGTAATCTTGACCCAACAGGATACTGGCCTTGGTGAGGCTTTCCTGCTAGGATTATTCGCAGTGATTCTGGAATGCCGTTTCACTGTTACAGGCATTCCTCAGGGCTTAAAACAGGCACCTTAGTATTAGGACAATGAGCTTCATTGTCTGTGATAAAAAGGTCAACAGTTGTTTTATTAGTTGGTAAGATATTGGATGTAAGATGACAAAGAGCTAAATGTCAAAGCTTGGAAGAGCTGCTTACCTTCATCCTAACAAACCTGAGGTACTGAATTCTGAATAATTGAATCACTTTAAGAAGCTACAAAGTAGCCAGGCATGGTGGCTCAGGGAGGCTGAAGCCAGGGGGATCACCTGAGGTCCAGAGTTTGAGACCAGACTTACCAACATGCTGAAAGTTTGCCTCTACTAAAAATACAAAAATTAGCTGGGCGTGGTGGTGGGCGCCTGTAATCCCAGCTACTTAGGAGGGGAGGCTGAGGCAGGAAAATCACTAGAACCCGGGAAGCAGAGGTTACAGTGAGCTGAGATTGCACCATTGTACTGCAGCCTGGGGGACAGAGCAAGACTCTGTCTCAAAATTAAAAAAACAAAAAGCTACAAAGTAGAATAAAGAATAAAGAATATAAATATGAATAAAGAGTATGAAATATGACATGATGGATGGCTTCTTAAAGGTATTATCAAGATTGTCAAATTAAGTGAATCTAGTGAAGTATGCTAAAGGGATTTTTTTCGGGGTTTAATTTTAAGCTGCTTTTTTTAACAATTACTGACAAATATTCAATAATTTACTCAACTGGGCTGCTGTTTTCAATTTTCATTTGTGAAACAGTATAATTATTGACTTCCTGATTCAAAAAATTACTTCTTTTTCAAAAAGGGATAATTTGAATAAATGATATATTTATTCTGACACATATTATATATAGAAAGATTGGTTTGTACCCGGTGACATCCAAGATAACCTGAAATTCTAGAAGGAGGAGGCTCTTTGTATTCACTCCATTCTCTTCTTGAACAATAAACAGTCGCATTTTGACTGGGTGTGTGATCTACAATTTTGCTTTCTTCCCTGGGCATCTGTCATTAGCTCCGTTCAGGAGTGTATCTGAGCACTCTGTCACTTAATTTGTTTCTCGACTTTCTTATTTCTTGCCAACGAACCAGTTTTTCCATGAAGTAATTTTACAAATGGTGGCCAGTGTCCTGTTTTAGGGCGTGTCTTAGATGCTATATAGCAGGAAGGTCTATAGGACAAAGACAGGAAATAGTGTACTAACACGAAAGTGAAGCTTCCATTAACTTCATACCGAGGGTGTAGTCTTAAGTCATTTTATGCCTCCCCAAAGTGATGTGCCCTTGCTTTTCTAATGTGTGTTGAGAAGGAAATACATAAGCTCCTTTGCAGTTAACTCTAGCAGCAACATCCAACAGTATGCCTAAGAGATTCAAGAGGCTTTTATAGGAGATGTCCTCACCTTGAAGATGGCAGAGAATATTGTGCTTGTAATGACCGTAGCAGCATGCTCAAGAGATCCCTGAGGACAATGTCACAAGTCTTCTGTCAGTTCTCGTTCTCTGTTGTGCTGAACTTTCTCTGTAACCTTGGAGAAGTCAACTCCGTCTCTACGTTCCACATCTTTCTTATCTGTATAATCTCTTAGTTCTTTTAGCTTCAAAAGGATATGAATTGGTGAACTGAAGTTGTTTTGTCTGAAGTCTCTTGAGAGCCTAATTGTTGAGGATGGCATAATGTGGAAAAAACACACCAGAGCTCTAAGCGTGCAATTGCAGGGATGCTTTTAAAATCTACATGGGCATGGAGACCCGGAAACGCTAGACCTGTGAATCGTTTACAAGTCAAGGTGGGACATTCTAGAACTGATGTATGAATAATCCATTTCTGTATTGATTAATCGTAGACCCCAGAGGATATAAGTGAAGAACAGAGATCTCAGGAGTTGGCTGCAATGGAAGACACCCGGATAGTCATTCTGAACAACCTCGAGGAACTTAAACAAAAAATCAAAGACATAAATGATCAGATGGATGAATCTTCCAGAGAGGTAAACTTTTTACCCTCTCCCCTCTTTTCTTGCTTTCCTTTAGCTTAAAAATATTGCTGCTCATTCAGGTACAGGCTTTGGAGCCCTGATACATAGAAGTCAACATAAGCAAACATTTATTCAGTGGGTTCTGTGTGTAGGGTAAAAATACCCTTTTTCTACATTCCTTTTTTCTGTTTTTTTTTTCTAACCAGATGACATAAATGTACTACACTCTCTTTAATGTACTTTATGAATCTTCAACCAACTTTGTCTTAACTAGTATGTGCTTTCTGACCTAACATAGGATCTATCAGCTGAAGTGCCCTGTATTTAGATTTCAAGGTCAAATCCAACAAATGTTTTCTGAGCATGCTTTATTGTGAATTGGATATCACATTGGCACCATGATGAAATTCACACACAGCTCAGAAATAGATCCAGCTTTCTAGAGGTTTGCAAACTAGGGAACAGACAGACACATATTGCATAACTATAATGGAGGACAGTGGCATTTTTTATGTTACCTCCATCGCATGAGAAGGGGCACGTAATTCTGCCTAGGGAAGATCTGTGTGTCTGTCCTTACAGATGATGCCAGTAGGCCCTTAAGTGGTTAGGGGACTGCTCACCTGTTGTCTTGTATAGAGACGCTGGAAGCCCCTCCTGCTGGCATTGCAGAGCTCACATGCTGCGCTCGGGTAACTTTCTCTTCCCATGCTCTAGGGACAGAGAAAGAAGGACGTGGCTGCTCCCATGGTGGTCTGTGCTTGAGTTTGAACCTAAGCAAATAGGCAAAATATCCTTGAGAAGTGAGCAGAAGAGGGGTTATAGTAGAAAAGTTAGGTGATAAGATAACTAGTTTTTTTGTGAATATATTCTAAGCTCTCTAGCTTTCTTATATGGGAATCCTGATTTCACATGGGCTCTCTGGAGTGTTCTCAGGCCCCCAATCTCGCTGATACAGTATGACTTTTGGAAGTCTGTAGTTGCAAATGTATCTCTAGGGTGGGCAGTTGAGACTATCCTGAAGGTGAAACACTTCTGAGCTTTGGTCTGTGTCCTTAGTTGGATATGGAATGTGCTCTCTTGGATGGAGAACAGCAATCTGAAACAACTGAACTTATGAAGGAGAAGGAGATTTTGGATCATCTAAACCGGAAAATAGCTGAACTGGAAAAGAACATTGTTGGTGAAAAGACCAAGGTAAAAGAAAATATTTCGATGCAATTTTCATGGGCAAAGTGGTGGTCTCAACTGATTGAATTTAAATGTTGAATGGATTACTGTGGTTTTGGATTTGTGTGTCATGTTCCTGGAGACAGTGGCACTAGAGAAAAATCCTAAGATCATACATTGCCAGAAACTAAGAACTGCCAGGTACCGGGCAGCTGATGCTGAGAAAGCAGATATCATATAATTTGTGAGCCGATATTCCTGACAGCTGTATTCTACTTGACATGAGTGAGTTGTTTGTTTGCTTTTTTTCATTGGCCTTTCTGCTTTTCTGATTCCATTGTGTTTTTTAAGTAATTTTTTAGAATACGGAAGTTCTTTACCACTGCTGCCCTATAGGGATGGCTTAAGCATATTCAAATAGGGTTGCCTCATTTCTTTTTATTTTTCTGTTTATTAAACAGATGAATGAGAACCATTCATCTCACCTGCTTCGCCTTGCTATTGTTTACAATGCAATTGCACTGCTTTTTGACAAATGAATTGAAGTTTCTATATTTTCTTCTGGGGAGAGTCCTCCCACACTGCCAAAGGAAAGTTATCTGTGAAACACAGTTGACACTTATCTTGGAAAAGGTCCTACATATACATTTTGGATCACAACCTGAATGTTGGCTGATATCTATTAGGGAAAGTAAGAAAAATCACTTGCAGATTTAAAAATTCAGAATGGTAGTTGGGTTTTTGATTTGTCTGTGCATGTGTTTTTTTCCTCTGGGAAATATACATTACTCTCTTCTCCCATTCTGAATTAGTTAGAGCTGAACTAAAAACATTCCAATAAAACTGAAAATTCCAATTTGAGAAAGAAAAAAGCAACTAAGCTTTAACACATTCTTCCTTACTCACCATGTTCTCCACTAAGCTGAGAAAAAGAAAAATTTTTTAGTTTGAGTAAGTTCTAGTGGTAATGTGTGGAAGGAATTTCTGCTGAATGTGACTTTCTTTTTAGGCTCTTATTTGTTTAAGACCTATAAATAAGGGCATTTGATCTTGGTGCCAGAGAATGAGCTCAAAATGACAGTCAGAAATAAAAGTAAAATTAAATGCTACACATCAATTCTTGGTGGCCAGCATGTCAGAATTAAACTGCAGAGACTTTCCATATTAAATTTTATGTGTATTCATTCTGCCCCCCAAACATTTAAGTAGTATTTGGGTAGTGGGTGTATTTTTCTCAAAAGGCCAAAAGCAAGTCAAAGAATTGACTGTCTAAGTCTGCAGTCCAGAGGGATTCAGCTACTGGCTATGCTTCTCAAAGATTCTGCAAGAAGCCTTCATTGGAGGAATCAGATGTCTTGTGTTGATATTTATCAATATTTTACTATCAAGTAAATACTAAGTAAGTAGTAGTAGAGTAGTTTTATTGCTATTTATGTCATACTGGAAAACTCATTCAACATAGGAATTGGGTATCATGTTCCCTGTGAACCCTCCTGCCGTCCTAATCTGCATAGTTATTTATTTTGTGTATCTCACATATAGCATGGCCTACGAACTCTATTTGTGTATGTCCCATTAGTATCAGATTCTACACTAAAGTGAAGCAAATTGAGCCAATGTTAGATCTCACTTCCCAGGAAAAGTTATGTTATATTCTCAAGAGGTACAGGTAGAATTCTAGGAATGTGGGCAGAAACAAGCAAGGAAGCCACCTCCATCCTTCCTAATATTGTTTTGATGGCTTGACAGAGGCTATGCACCAGAGAGGGGACTCCAGGGACTTGACGCATAGGACCAGCTCAAACAGCTGTGAGGGGATTAGTTGGTCTTAGAAGGTAGGATTATTGTCTGTCATCACATCATGTGAAAAATGGCAGAAACTGGCTTTGGGTGAGGAACTCCAGAAGAGGATGAAGGAACTGGAAACAAAGACTGGTCTAGATGATGTTACTATGTATTTTTGACAACTGAACTCAAATAGAGACTCAACATAGCTTGGCGAAAACATTATTATGTTTCTCAAATAAATGTATTCCACCATTTAATGCCACAGCTATTTCATACACTCTGTTCATACCCCCGGCCCACTTTCATCCCTCTGACTCAGAGATCATCTTACCACCTGCTCTGCAGAGAAATTAAAAGCATCCCATCTTCTCACAGTGAAGTGGGGGTTCCCTCCTTCCATCAAAGACTAGTCTCATTGGATGTGCTCTGTGTGTCATCCCATCCCACCTTCTTTAGGTCTTTAGTCTTTCTGCACCCTCACCCCCTGGGATCAGTTTCTCCCTCTTTGCTGTCAGCATACCAACATTATTATTTTTAAAATAAATTACTACTTTATTCATTAACAATAAGCTACTGCCTTACCTTTCTTATCTTCATTGTAGCTAAACTTATCAATTTTCTGAGTCTACTGTGTCTCCTTTTCTTCATTTTCCAGTTAAACATTCTTCCCCCTCCAGTTGGCTTAGATCTCTACTCCTCCATCAGATTTTCTCCTGTTAAGACTACTAAAGACCTCAGTGCCACCCAGCCTGCTGCGTGCATTCCAGTCCCTTATGATCAGACTCCGGAGCAGCATCCGGCACAGGGGACAGCTCTTTTTCTTGGTCCTTCTTCACTGCCTCCCTCTTCTTGGCCTCTGTGTACCACAGCCTTCTGGTTTTCTGTCCATTTCTCTGACCTCTTTCTCACTCTTTATCTCTGATCTGAACTCATGTCTCTTGTACCCTCGTGTCCTTCTGTTGCTATGGCTTCAAATAACTTGTATATGCTGGTGACTATCATAGGGATTTCGCTAGTCCATACCGTTTTTGAAACACTGACTCATATCCTGTAGCCTACCTGACATCTCCACTCAGATATTTCATGAGTATTTCCAACTGAACACACCCATACCTGAACTCTTGATCTTATCTGTTCCCTTGCTTCCACCCTCCACCCTCAATCCTCCAGTTTTACCAACCAGGAAATTGTGTCTCTCTTCACCTATATGTTCAGCAGAAACCTGGAAATTGATCTTGACACGTCTTTCCTATCGCCCCTACATCCAGTTGATTACCAACTTATTTCTCAATTACTTCAACATCTCTGCATCTCCACTAACAGCATTCTCTTCTCTATTAAGAAAATCTCTTATTTAGTCTATTTCCACTTGCTTTCCTTCAATTCATTCTCTTCACAACAGCCAATGTGGTTAAAAAGAAGAAATTAGATTGTATTGCTGTGGTTTGTGTCACGCTGTACTTGATTATACATCCAAATTCCTTAGTGTGATCTGTCACCAGCCTGTCACCACCCTCCCATTCTTCACGTCACTCTCACAGTCGCCTTCCTTTCTATCTTTCTATTTGTTAAAAGATTCACCCTCCCCCAACCCCAGTCCTTTGCAGATACTGTTTTCCCCTACCTGGCATTCTCTTCCCCATATGCCATGCCTCATTGGTCTGTCTTTCAGGGCTCAAGATCACTGTTAGTTTTTCAGAAAAGTCTTCCTAGACCTTTCCAGTTCAGATTAGATTTTCCATGCTGTTCTTTTTACGGATAAACATTTTCTAATTTATGTTTGTTTGGGGGTTACTAGACATTTATTTCCTGCTCTAGCCTGTGAAATAGAGGAAAGCACTAGGGCACTGTAATACACTGTTTATCCAGCCCATAGCATGTGCCAAGTTACTGCCCAGTGTGCTTGGGAATATTGTTGTTGGATTTTCCTGCTAATGGCTAGTCCAAGCTGGGCCTTAGCAAAACACTGAGCCAAACACCAGCCAAAGAGCTACGTGCAGCCAAGTTTCAGGACAGCTGGGCTGGGCTGCCCGCCTGCACATGCCAGGAGGCCTGTAGTCACACGGCCCATCATGCCAGAGCGTAAGACAGAAGGAGGAAGTGGCCTTTGCCCTTAGAGATCGCATTTCCTCTTCCATACACCTGTTGCTGTGGTCAGATATAAACCCTGGAATGAGAAAAGCAAAACCTGAAAAGATATCTCTGTTGGGCAAGCTCCGATTCAGATGTGGATAGTACATCCTGTAAGCCTGGCTCTAGCATTTTGGAGACAAAACCGGAGCCATAGGAAAAATGTGTGATAATACGTCAGAATACCTCAACCTTCAAATCTTTTATTTTTCATTTTTTGGGGGATGGAATCTCTTTCTGTTGCCCAGGCTGGAGTGCAGTGGCACAGTCTTGGCTCATTGCAAACTCCTCCTCCCAAGTTTAAGTGATTCTCTTCCTCAGCCTCCCGAGTAGTTGGGATTCCAGGCACCCACCAGCAGGCCCAGCTAATTTTTATAGTTTTAGTAGAGACAGGGATTTCTCATGTTGTCCAGGCTGGTCTCCAGTGCGTCATGTCAGGGGTTATCTGCCTGTCTTGGCCTCCCAAAGTGCTGGGATTACAAGTGTGAGCCACCACGCCCACCCATCAGCATTCAAATCTTGATGTGAAATTACTGATGTTATTTTCTTGGCTCTAAAGATTGATCTGTAATAGTACTTTTAGCTGATTTAGAAATGCATTTTGTTTAGCATATTTAGTATAAGTTAATATGTATTATACATGATTGGTATTTATTTATATGTTACCATATAAAGTATAAACTATAGGCATCCTTATATAGAAAACATAAAATATAGACAGTTTATTCTACTATGTGTTTATTGAACATTTTTGCAGCAGTTTCCTGCACTGGCCGTTTATTACCCCTAGGGGTACCACTGTTAAGAGCATCAATAAGCCTGTTTCCCTCTGACCTTGAGATACATGCCACCTGCCTATTGTGTTCTCAGGTAGTAGCCTCATTAGGGATGAAGGCACCGTGAACATTGATAAACCTTAAACCAGGGTCTAACTCGAACATAAACCTGGAGGGTATATTTATTTGGTGAAGCAGTAAGCAAAGAGACCATCACATTTTCTTAATGCAAGTGAAAGAAGAAGATTGGGTCCTCTGGTCTAGTAAACTGTTTTCATTTAATGGGCCTGGTGACAGTAGGGAAATCACTAGCACCATGAAGCCAAGCTTGGG